GAGCTATTCTGAGCTGCCTTCCGAGCTACCCCGAGGAAAATGGTATTACTGATCAAACCGTGCGCGTCTGATGTAGCAATAAGCAGGGGCGGATCCAAAAAGAAGAGGGGCACGGGGCCATGACCTCCCCTTGGGTCCCGAAGGGGCCCGTTGGCTCCGAGGTGCCCATCGCCGGCTGAACAGGTGCAGGTTTTTTTTAACACGAAGCGCAACAAAACTGGATATCTCTGGACTTCCAGACGACCAAGAACGGTTGTAAGCGAAATTGAATTGTCTTTGAGAAGTCAAAGGAATGATTCGGTGATTAGAAAAGTTATGAACTGGAAACATTAAGCCTCATTACCCTGTCTAGGGGCCCATGCCGTTTTTGGGAGACCTATATGCCCACTTGCAGGATAATCTCGATAGTTAGGAGCATTCCACGTCGCCTTTTATTTTTTGCATCTGCTCGGGGGGGGGGGGGGGGCTGCGCTGTTGTTTGGTTCTTTCTTGCTAGCGTGCCTGGGCACTCTTGTCAATCACGGGTCCTTCCACGTGTCCTTTCCATTCGCCAGAAAGGATCTGTGGGCTATAGCAGGGGTCCCGTATCTTAACCTGCCGGGGTATTCTCGTTTGCTCAGGGGCCCTTTACGCGGGTCTCAGTTAACATACGGACACGCGATTTGCTCCTGCACCCTCTTCATTGGTCTAGGGCGTTTCCAATTCTCTGTCACTTGCTTAGGGCCTTGCACTCTTTTCGGAGGCCCATCTGATGGCCTGCTTGGGCACATTGGTCGTTCGGTGACCCTTCTCACGGGATCTTGGGTACTTCTTTTCTCATTGGGTCCGCTTTACGCTTTTTTTATTTCCCTACGCTTTGGGGGGGGGGGGGCAATCTGATAACCTGCTCGGGCACATTCAGTCGTTCGGGGCCCCTCTACATTGGGCCTTGAGAACGTGCTATTTGAGTGGGGCCATACGCATTTGCCGGGGCCCCTCTGTTCGCCTCCTCGGCCACACTGCATTGCTCAGGAGGCCCTACACATTGGTTCTTGGTGTTTTAATTTAGGGTCTTCTGCTTCTATCGGGGTCATCTGATAACCTGTTCGGGTACACTCCATCTTTCGGGGGCCCTCCACACCGCGTTTTGGGTGCCTCTTATTTGAATGGGGGGGGGGGCCTTACGCTCCTGTCGGGGCCCCTTCTGGCACGACGCTCGGGCCCATTCGATAGTGGGGGACGTCTACATGTGGTTTTGGGTACTTCTTTTTGAATGGAGGTTCCTCCGCTCTTTTGAGGGCCCTATGTGTTAACATGCTGTGGTGCATTCGATTGTTCGGGGCCCTCTACATCGTGTCGCGGGGATTTTATATTTGAACGTAAGGCCGTACCCCCTTGCCGGGCCGCATCTGCTAATCTGCTCGGGCACACTCGAATATCCGGGGGCCCTCCATGTAGTGTCTTGGGCACTTCCTATCTGAATGAAGGGCTCTATTACTTGTCGGGGACCCCATCTGTGCGCCGCTTCGGCCACGCTGAATTGTCCGCGGGCCTTGCACATTGGGTCCTGGTGTTTGACTTAAGGTCCGACACTCCTGTCTGGGCCACCTGACAATCTGCTCGGGTGTACTCCATCTTTCGGGGGCCATCTGCGCTGGGTTTTGGGCATTTCTTATTTGAACGGAGGGCCCAACATTCCTCTTGGGCCCCTTTTGACAAGCTGCTCGGACACATTCTTTCATTCTGGGGCCATTCACGCAAGGTCTCCGGCGCTCCCCACTCAGTTTGTCCGTCCTGGTGGCTCAGTTGGTTAGAGCGCCTGGCTCCCGATTCACCCACCCGTGGCGGGGTGGGTTCGAGTCGCTTTAGGCGCTCGCTATTTGCCCTTGACGGGTATGGCCTGCGGCCGGTGGCAGCGGTCCCGCTAAAGGTTAGTCGACGTCAGGGGGCTGGGCGGACCGTGCCGAGCACTGCGGCACGTTAAGCTTTCGCCATTAAATTATGTCGTTGCCTGGAATCGCGCGATCGGATGTTCAGGTCAGGGCTCACGCAACAGGCACTGCTTAGCGTGAGCGCTGTTCCCAGAAATCCATCCATTCAAAGCGTTTGGATCAAATTTCCAAAAAAAATTGGAGGGCCATACGGTGTTTTTTGTGAGCCCTGTTTGTTAACCTGCTCGGGCACACTCGATCATTCGGGGGCACTCTGGCACGGGCCCATGGCACGGCACGGGACCATGCTCCATGGACCATGCCGAGGGAACCTAAAGGCTCCGAAGGGGCCATATCCGGCCGGACGGACGCTGTTTTCTTACAGAAAAACATAACAAAATTGTAAGCCTTTGGGCCTACAGACGACCAAGAACAATTCCTAGCAGTTCCAAGTTCAACAATTCCAAGCTCATTTTTTGCTGATTGAGATGGTGCTACTTGTAGAAAATTTTGGAGCTCATTACGCTGTCTAGAACCATTGCACTGTTGGTTTCCTGGCCCCATATGTTCACTTACCGGGTCAGTCTGATCGCTAAGGAGCTTTCCACGTTGCCCTTGATCTCTTTGCATTTTCTCGTAGGGCCCAATGTGCCGTTGGGACGCTATCTGCCTCCATGCCTAGGCACAGTTAATCGATCAGGTTTTCCTCCGCGAATTCTCCCCATTCGCCCGAAAGGCTCTTTACGCTTTTTCCCAGGTCCCTTAGGCCAGGGTGCACTCAGTTGCTCAGGAACCATTCACTTAAGTCTCAGACTCCTCCTACTTGCCTGAAGGGCCTTTTGCTGTTGCTAGGGCTTTTGTAAGGTAAGGCACGGAGACACTCAATGCTCATGGACCCTCTACTTTGATCGAGGGCTCTCTCGCCTTGGTCTCATTCGCGGAGGACTCTTCACTCCTATCGAGGTTCGTGTTGTTAACCCGCCCGCGCACTCGTGATCGCACAGAGGTATTAATTCATTGTCTTGGATAATTCCCCTTCGCTCGGAGGGTTCTGGCCGGGTTCTGGCCGGGTTCTGGCCGGGTTCTGTGCTCTGACCAGGCTTTACATGTCAGCCTGCCGGGGCACTACCGGTCGTTCATGGGCCCACCACGTTGGTCTTAGGTTCTTTTTGCTTGCTCTGCGGACCCTATACCTGTTGGCGGGAGCCACTTTGTTGGCCTCTTGCGTCACCCATGATCGCTCAGGTTTCGTCGCTACTGGCCTTGGTGTCTTCCCCTCAGAGGAGCGGTGGAATATGCGCTAAAAAAAATTTACGCGCAATTGCCGAACGTAATTTTACCATCCGTCGACGTCGTATGTGTCGTTTTCATTGGCTATTGAGTGTGGACGCTTATTATACTAGTGCATCACGTTCTTAACATATTTCGAATGCTGGGATATGTTGTACTCCTTTCTAACAGAGGAAAACCCCTGCACTAATGATCAGTCATCAACTCATTACATCGCCCAGCCGGCTAGCCGTAAAGACATAAGCTAGGAGCCAAGTCCATGCTTGGTTTTGATGGTTGTTAGCAGTCAGCTAAGTTTATTTTGCCTGCTTTTCCGAAACACTTAGCCTCAAAATCACAGCATTTAACATCATCTGTAGAAAGGGAGTGAGTTTTATGTGTATGCATGCGTAACACACCTAGCTTAGATGGATATATTTATATGATAATGAGGTAAATGAATAAGTAAATACATTCCTACATATATAGGTACCTGTAAATCAATAAATAAATATACATATATATATATATATATAATGTATGTGTGTGTGCGTGTGTGTGTGTGTGTGTGTGTGTGTGTGTGTGCGTACACACACACACGCACGCACACGCACACGCACACGCACACGCACACGCACACACACACACACACACACACACACACACACACACACACATGCACATATTCATACACATACACGTACACATGCACATACACATACACATACACATACACATACACATGCACACACACATGCATTATATATATATATATATATATATATATATATATATATGCGGAATGCGAGGATATTTTTGGAAGGGGCCCTACAATGGTGCGTGCCGACTCCCTCCCCCCGGCCCCTTAATGATATCCTGGATCCGCCCCTGGAAATAAGTGAACAACACAAAAGTGGTAGGATGCTGTTACACAAACGTTCTGTCATAGCTCATCTTGCAAGTGGTACTTTCTGAGCTTTGTTAAAGCACTTAATTGCTCTTTTTCAGCGAGCTTGTCGAAACTAGGACGCTTTGTTTATAGTTTATCGCAGGTGGGTATTGAGGTTTATGTGTGTTTTACATTCTTAACGAATCTCTGTGTTGTGCTCTCTGGTTTTGGGTTTGTATGATATTATGAGCAGCGCCCAAAAATTCACGCGAAAAATAATCGCTATCCGAAAAAATAACAGTACAAAAACAAATAAACCTTAACAAAACTGTTGTTTGTAAGAAGGTAATCAACAGTCGTTTCATGGCTAGATGTTAAGGTTCAAGGGTTAAAGTCGTTTGGTGACATTAGGCTCCCTTGGTGACCTTGGCGCAAATGCGCGCAACTTTTGTCTTTCGATCAGTGTTTCAGAAGCACTGGTGTCGTTTGGTGCAGAAATCTCCACGAAATTTGATGGGACTTTGCATCATTTCTGGTGCTCCACTCATGTTTCAGCCGCATCCGCGACAGCTTTGAAAAGGTGTATTCGATCAGACGATACGATGAATGGACTGTGTTGAAAATGTGTTGTCTTGGATGAATAGGTAAAGACGTATTCATATAGGACGGCTCAATGGAGCAGGTTGTGTGTCAGCATGCTGCTGCCACTGCCACACGCACTGCGTGTCTCACTTCCCCACGCTGGCCAGCACAAACCCATAACCCCGCTCTCATGCGCCACGACGCGACCTGCGGCCTCTGTTGATGAGTGCGGTGTCTGTACCTGCAGGTGCACCGAGGGCCACCCGCCGCCGGCTGCCGTGTCGCTGGCGGCCCAGGCGCTCGCTGGCCCGCCGCCGACGCTGCCGCCGGCTCCGCGCAGCGACGAGGAGATGGCGGCAGCGCTCTTCCACTACCTTGAGAATCCGCAGCTGTGCTGCCGCAAGCTGACGCAGTTCGGCGGCTACGTAAGCCAGTGGGGGGCGGTGGACGGCGACATGTTCGTCTGCCTGGATGAGGGACGCGCGCCGCCGCCGGGCGACTGCCTTTTCTACTCCGCCGGGGTATCCAGCGAGTGGAGCTTCGGCCGCGCCGGCATCCGCTACGGCTGTCGGGTCTACGCCTTCGACCCGTCCACGACGGCGCACAAACAGAACGAAGCGGATTTCGGCGCTCGCTTCCACAGGATCGGCTTGGGTGGCCGCACAGAGATGACGAAGGACGGCTGGCATATGATGACGCTGACCGACCTCAGGGCCAAGCTGGGGCACTCGAGGCGAACCATCGACTACCTGGCGGTCAACACCGAGGGCAGCGAGTGGGACTGGCTCGAGAATGACGTGGCTGGCCTGGAGGGTGTCAGACAGCTGGGCATGCAGGTGCACATGCAGGTGGACATGCAGGCTCTGAGGCGTTATTACGACGCGTTCTGGCGGATACAGGAGGCGGGGTTCAAGACGATCCACTCCAACCCATATCGGGCGTACGGCAGGAACTCCAGAATGAAGGGAGTGGACGGAATGGTTGCCACTGTGTATCGGCTGGTGTGGATGAGGAGTGCGTAGGCCGGTGCATTGGTCCATAACTACATAAAACCTTGTTCCAGCCAAGGACTGTGCGAGCAATCGAGGCGGACCACGAAAGGATAGAGCTGTCCTACGCTATGCCGCGCATCATATTGCGTATGCATTATGCGTATATTGCTGCACTTTATTGTGTATTCGAAACCATTTAATGCCCCCGCATCTGAAACACATATGCCAAGCTGGAAAGTTATTTTGCGGCCACATTTATCCGTCACGACACGTCATGCGCCTGGTGATGTTTTTTACCTGTGATCTGGTATCTGTCTGCTAGTGTCAGGAAGGCCACTGTCACCGGAAAGACTTCCGGTTTGAAATCATTGACGCCCGGTGCTTTGCATGAACCTCTTTTGACTTCACTTCTCTTTTCCCTGGTTGATAAACCTTCGCGCGTCATTGAATCCGGCTGCCTTCTGCACGCCGGTGGTGTTCAAGTTGTTTGCGAAGTTACACCCCTGGCTGACAGCGGCCTGCAGCAGGCGCTTGATCATCACTACTGGATCATTCACATAGGAATTAAGGAATGAACATCAAGCCCCTGAGGAACAAGTCGTCAACCCCAGCCTTCAGAGCGTGCGGTCGTGGGGATTAGATATGTTACCTGGGCAAGGTAACTAAAAAACGCACCTGAAACACGCGATAGCTCGTCCCAATAAGTTTGATTTGTGGGTACCTGCGTCTGGGAGCGTGCTTCAGGGGATCATCTTTCAAATTGCCCTAGAATGTTCTGTAATGAAGCTGAGCCAGAGAAAACACCATACGAGCGAGGAACTAACATTGTCTTTCATTGGTCGGAAATGGGCAACCGTTCAGAACACGTAGTGCTGAACGGCAACCAGTCTGACTGGATTCCAGTGTGATCTGGCGTCCCGGAAGGCCGTGTGGCCTGGGACCGTTACTGTTCGCCTGCCTTCTGGCTGATGTCCCTGACCAAACTGAGACTGAGTGCCTTACGTACGCTGATGATGTGAAAATTTATCACCGAATCGACAACGTAGCAGATTGTCTCGCACTTCAGGTAGATTTGATCGTCTCTGTGAATGGTCCAAAAACTGGGGACTGAAATTGAATCCAGCTAAGTGCAGTACCATCTCATTCACCCTCCGCACGTCACCTGTTCACCACCCATATGCACTAGACGGTCACCGCTTGGATAGCTGCCAGCGGATTCGTGGTCTCGGCGTATTCATGGTCACCAAGATCACTTTTGCCGATCACATAGATTCAACTGTCATAAAGCAAACAGAACGCTGTGCCTTCTCGTGCGAAGCGTGCAAATGCCGTCGTGTTCTCATCAAGCGCGATTCAATCACGAGGCTTTGCTTTGTGCCTTCAACGCTCACGTCAGATCATTGATAGAGTACGATAACGTTTTTGGAGCGGTGCTGTCGTTTCCTATCTCGCCCGGCTCGAAAAACTTCAACACCGGTTTCTCATGTGGATGCGTTCGAGTAGCCAGTCCCGGTGTCCACTGAATTACGAGCGTCTTCTCGCTTTGCTCAAAACAGCATCCATCAAGGCACGCTTTGCTTAGTCTGACATGTTATTTTTATATCATGTGTATTACAGACTTGACTGCGCTCACCTGATATCAGTGTTCAGTCTGGCTACACTCGTCCGGCGTTCTCAGCGTACCGGCCTTTTTCACGAGCCATTTGCAAGGGTCAATACTGTTCAAAATGGGTTTGTCGCACGGCTACCCGCTGTCTGCAATCACTGTGTGTGGCATTCTCCCTCAACTGACTTTTCATCCAACGAAATCATTTCGAGCTGATTTGTTTAGACTCGCCGGCACACGTGGATTATTCTCTTGATGACCCGATGTGTGACTGTATGTAATGTGCTTCTGTGTGTGTGATAAACAAATAAACAAATGCCATTTTCGTCCATTTAGAACAATGCCAGCGTCTGACATAAAGTATTCGAATATCACGGGTGGAGGGGGTTAAGATGTGCTCCCGTTATGCCCTCATTGAACGATAAAGAAACCTGTCCCATTTCTCCGTCAGCTGAATACCGGAGAGGCGAAGTCAGAATGAGGGATTGTTGGAATCCACCGATATTCAACTTACGGAGATATAACACGTTGGCCGTTATGACCTCCGGGTAAACCGTGCTGTGCTCATATTTAAATTTGACGAATGTGAAAGAGAGGGTTTGGTTTGACTAGGCCTTTCCCAAGCCATTGACGCGTTTCCACCATCGTCGCATCTTTGTTTTTATCGTGTAAGCTCTAATTAATAGACTGGAATCAAGGATTGCCTCATATATACATATATATATATATATATATATATGTATATCTATCTATATCTATATCTATATCTATATATATATATATATGTATATATATATATATATATATATATATATATATATATATATATATGCATATATATAGAACGGCCCGTAGTAAAGACATCTCCGTGCGAAGTGTGAGAGTGGTTGTGGGTATATTTTACAACTGTATTCCTTTGGAATAATACATATGTTAAGACAATGGATCAGAAACCAAACAAAACTTTACTTGCAGCCGGCCGTTATAACTTCCCCGAACACTGATGTACTGATACCTAAACTTGATCATGGTGAAAAAGAAGGTGTTGTTTGACTTTGCAGGCCTTTCTCAAGCTATTGACATGTTTCCATCACCGCCGCATCTTCGTTTTTATCGTGTAATTTGTAAATCATTGACTCGAATCAAGCGTTACGTCATACATAAGGAACGCATCGTAGTAAATACATGGCATGACGTGACATAAAAACATTATATACCCAGTTTTTCAGTTTAAGATTTGTCAAAGGGGTAATCATGTGTGCAGAAGTCCATGCTCGTGAAATTTTTCATCGACCTGTAAAAGAATTTAGGACTTATAGCAGCCTTGTTTTACCGAATGGCACTTATGATGCTTTGTTTCTGACGAAAGGCCCCGCCATGTGTCAAATGCTGTAAAGTTAGGGGGCGGGGTTGGGGCACAAAGGTTATAAAACAGTCTTTTAGGCAACGTGGCAGCCCACTTCTCTGACAACCATCTCTCGGTTCTAAGCCCTAGTAATTATTGCCCCTCGCGCGTGTTGGGTTCTGGTCTCGTCAGCAAGTGTAGGAATATCATATGAGGCGGTTGGCCGAACAAACGCATGCAAGGCCTAAATGATGGCCCCCAGCCAATGTTCGGACCATGGACTCGATTCTGCCTGGATGGAGCGCTGTCGTGCCATTCGCTGGGGGACTTCTCAGCACTCGAACCGTCAGAGCGACATCGATGAGGGACTTCTCAGCACTCGAACCGTCAGAGCGACGTCGACTTAGACCTGCATGACACAGACGTGTGGAAAATGTGGCCGCATGCTCACTAATGTGAATGGAGACCTCACAGTGGATACGCTGTGGTCATCAGATCTTAAGGTCTGCGCTGCATATCATCACCCGTCTCTGCTGTAGTGCTCGTTGCGGCACCCGCCTCTGCTGCCGTGACGGTTGTGGCACCCGTCTCTGCTGCAGTGACCGTTGCGGCACCCGTCTCTGCTGCCGTGACGGTTGCGGCACTCGTCTCTGCTGCAGTGACCGTTGCGGCGCCCGTCTCTGCTGCCGTGACGGTTGCGGCGCCCGTCTCTGCTGCAGTGACGGTTGCGGCGCCCGTCTCTGCTGCAGTGACCGTTGCGGCGCCCGTCTCTGCTGCCGTGACGGTTGCGGCGCCCGTCTCTGCTGCAGTGACCGTTGCGGCACCCGTCTCTGCTGCCGTGACCGGTGCGGCACTGAGGGGAATGACCCATTGTTCCATTGCCATGTTGGTGCCTGCTGAGGCGGCTGTTATCACACCATTACGTACGAACGCGCGTAGTGGTGCGTAATTGTGACAGGGCATGCCAAACATAGGTCTCACTGCTGTTTTTTCATCATTGGTGAAATGCCCCCTTTACCGCGCCCTAGAGGCCAGGATGTGCCGACCCTCGTCAAGACTACTTCAACTGCAGGCTCGTTGATCCATTTCGTCGCATGCATCCATAACGACCAGCGGCATTTGACCGTTCACATGACTACAACGATCGATGTGAAGCCGCGCAAAGGGCAGGCCGGCCATGTCCATGGGCTGGGAGGAGTGTGTGGCGCCGTCCTACGGCACTGCTGGCGAGTCGGCCAGTTCCCTGCGGTATGTCGGCAACCATGTTTTGCCACCACACGCATCTTCGCGCAAAACTTTCGCATGTCTCGCCCCCGTGCGACTCTCATGGATGATTTGCAGAAGACGTCGCCGCAACAGGGTGGACGCCACCACACGTGACCCCCACATCAGACACCCGTCATTGATACCGATTAAACCAGGCTTGGTGCGATACGCGGTCAGCTCGGGAAGCAAACCGCCGCGGCCTCGGGGCCAGCCATCCCGCGTGTGCCGCAGTACCGCGCCCTGCGCTGGATCCCGCTCTGTTGACCAACGGATCTTAGCGGCAGTTGCTGGTGAAGCATCGGTGAATTCCTCCAGCAGTAGCCTTTCTCACAAAGAGTTGTTACAAATAGTTTGTATTTGTAAGTTGTAATTTAGAATTTACAAACTACAACTTACAACTGTTTCATAAACCCGGCGCGGGTTGTAGAATTGTAGTTGTAAAATTATGCACCGTGTGTACTTTCTCAACGCCAATCACCGGCCTTGCCAAGGACGTAAAAAAGTACGCCTGACCGTTTTTTAGCACCCCATACGCCCAACGCTGACGCGACGTCACTGGAGTCTTGCCACAGCGAGAGCAGCGCGCAAGCCCGCACGACGCATATTACGATCTGGATATCTGCGTTTCCGTTGGTTACAGCTGCATTGCATGCAAAATTTGCTGGGAAAGCCACCCTTTCTTTCTTCCGTCACTATAAATAGGTTGCGTTATCAAACGATTAGTTCAGTGTAAATTCGGTAAACCTAACCTAAATTACATCGCCCATACTGAGCGAGACGTTGGCGTCAAGGGCATACAGTCAGGCTCACGCAGTCGGGCTCGCCGTTCTCGCTGTCCCCGCTCCTTCCGGTGCCGGTTTCTGTGTCACCCATGTGCACGTGCCCAGAGTCGCACTCAGAATCCTGGTGGAGCACGAGTGACACGGGGCTTTATGGAAAGCCCCTAGTTAAATTTCTTAAGTTTTGAGCGCGCCTCAAATTTTCCGTTTCTTTCGTTTCTGTTTTTATATACTTATTCCGACGGGCGTGTTAATGAAGGGGCCATGGAATGAGCGCTGACCCCACATACTTGTTTCGTTTAGGCGGCGTCGTCAGTGAAACACTGGGGGCCACAGAATACTTATGGTGCGACATTCTGGTGGCACGGGCGCCGGGCCTCATGATCGATTCAGAAGCCCTCTGAGGAAACACTGGTCCACTTTATGACTCCGGCCGTCCTCCGACAGGAGCAGTTAGTGCGACTCGGAGTAAAGGATTTCAGTGACGCACAATAATTTCTTGCGGGTACAGGGGATCTACTAAATGACACAGGGAATACTTTTGATAAAATCAGGCCCCTGGACAAAATGGAGCAAGGTCGTTTGTTGATTGATGGGCCCACTGTCCGACACATAACCATTAAATTGCGTCAATCAATGCGGGCCCTGTTACTACCCTATTTCCTATCCCCCTTTATTGTCGGGGGACCCAACAATGCAAGAGGTCCGCTGACATTCCAGGTCCCGTCATTGTCCCTTTCTGGCAAACGGGCCCGCTGCC